TACATACAGACTATTTCCTTTTGAATTTCTTTTTTTTTTCTATTATAAATATAAATGAATGAATATAAATGAATAGAATAAAAAAGGAACAAAAACATTATTATTATTGCATGATTATACTGGTCTCTCGGTCAATGGGTAAAAATTAGAAGAATAAGTATTAAACAAAACAAAATAGAACTACAACATCAACCGAAGAAAAAGTAAAACATTACAACAATTTGTATGTGTATTCACTTCAAACAATATGAACAAATGAATTTCCTTTTACAACTTTTTCTGTTTCGGATTTTGCTTATTTCTTTAGTACTTGAGTACTACTTTTTTCTTTGTGTGGATTTAAATGCAAATTTTATGCATATTCTTTGTTGCTTTTTTCTTAAGTCTATATGTGTGTATGTGTTTAAATGTGGGTGGGGTGTTTAGTTTGTAATTTTTTAATAATCTTTTACTTCCATTACCGTATCTCTTAGTTATTTGTAGGTCCATGCATTTCTAATGACGTTCGGTTAGGTCGGTCGGCTTTTTTTCTTATTTTGTTTATTATGCCCTGTATTCAAAATAAAGTTGTTAGACCTTGAAATTTATTCATGTGCAAACGAAATGAATTCTGTGAAACTGTTAAGAAACAAAGGCAGAAGAAGAAGAAGAATGGAGACAAAATGTTAGGTTAAAGATGAACAAACAAATTAAACCTTAAAGAAATAAACTTTAAGTTAGAGTGAAGAAGAACAACTTAAGAAATTAAAAGTAAAATTAAGAAATAAAATATCTTAAAGAAGCAGGGATTTAAAAGAATTTAAAATAGAAAAGTAATTTTGGAGAGTGAGCTCACTTTCGATTGTACACTTTATTCATTCTCTCTTCGCTCCCTTCAAAGGAAAGATATTTAAGTAGATAGATTGATAGATAGATAGATAGATAGATAGATAGATAGATAGCTAGATAGATAGATAGATAGATAGATAGATAGATAGATAGATAGATAGATAGTAGATAGATAGATAGATAGATAGATAGATAGATAGATAGATAGATAGATAGATAGATAGATAGATAGATAGATAGATAGATAGAAGATAGATAGATAGATAGATAGATAGTAGATAGATAGATAGATAGATAGATAGATAGATAGAATAGATAGATAGATAGATAGATAGATAGATAGATAGATAGATAGATAGATAGATAGATAGATAGATAGATAGATAGATAGATAGATAGATAGATAGATAGATAGATAGATAGATAGATAGATAGATAGATAGATAGCTAGATAGATAGATAGATAGATAGATAGATAGATAGATAGATAGATAGATAGATAGATAGATAGATAGATAGATAATAGATAGATAGATAGATAGATAGATAGATAGATAGATAGATAGATAGATAGATAGATAGATAAGATAGATAGATAGATAGATAGATAGATAGATAGATAGATAGATAGATAGATAGATAGATAGATAGATAGATAGATAGATAGATAGATAGATAGATAGATAGATAGATAGATAGATAGATAGATAGATAGATAGATAGATAGATAGATAGATAGATAGATAGATAGATAGATAGATAGATAGATAGATAGATGAAGATTAAAAAGAGTTAACTCTTTTCACATTCTGTTCTCAACTTAATATAAATATATATTTAGTAATTTCTATTATATTTAGTCACTATAACTGCTTTATGTCTGTTATCTTATTCATTAGTTCTGACAATAAAAAATAATATTCAATAGTTTATCATTTTTTTGCTTGTTAAACTAAAAACAGATTAAAATAACAACAAATTATTACATAAACTATTAACCCCTACCTAGTACCAGCAACCAACCAAAAAAAATAATAAGCAAATATTAACATTTCTTATCTATCTACCCATTCCCAAATACCGAACGTCGACGGTCTCCCTTAATCATAAAATTTTCGGTTGAAATATGTGTCATTAGTTCAGTGAGTTGTAAATTATCATTAATCATACTTTTGCTATAATATTTATTGCTATTTTAGAACCAAAGCCCAGTAGAGTTTAGATATAATAGAATCTTTAGTGAACCTTGGTGGGTGGATTGCATTTGAAAATTTTGTACTTTAAAAAAGATTTTAGTCTTC